TGTGGTCATAGGGCCATCTTCCATCTATCTATCTCTCTGTCTCATCTCCTCTTTTATAGGACACAACTCAGATGGGATTAGGACCTACCCTACTTCTATATGATCTCATGTTAGCTTAACTGATAACATCTGCACAGACCCTATTTCCAAACAAGGTTATGGGTAGCAGGGGTTAGGACATCAATATATCTTTTGGGGGGACACAATTCAGTCCATAACAGATGTACACTATTAGGTGGAGGGTGGTACCGTTTATTGAAATGGATGGAGACCAGCTTAAGAACAAGTCTGGGGGGAAATCAAGAGTTCTGATTTAGATATATTTAATTTGAGAGGCTGCAGTGCAGTGAATTACTTAATGTGGCCCTTCTAGCCGTAGTCTTTGTGACTCCCACACAATGGTTGGATGAGACTATGCAAATGAGGAGCTTGTGGCCCACCAAGGGGATTGGACGGCTTGCTAATAATAAAAATAAGGCACATGGCACCCTTGTGAGGGTTGGACCACGCAGATAAGGGTATGGAACCCTAACGAGGGCATAGGTCAGTTTTGCCATCCTGCTAGGGTTAAAATGAGCCATCCTAGAGGTGTAAAAGGGAGGGCTTCACTACCATTAAGAAAGAAGATTTAGGAATGGAGCGCATCCTTTGGACCCTGGATCCCTGCGCTGAAAACCTCCTAGACCCAGGAGACAAAGAGAGAGAGCTGTAACACAGAAGACAGAAAGAGGTGGCAGCACAGCAGTAGCAAGAGTGATTGATAGCAATGTGAAACAGCAGAAACCAGGAGACCAGCGTGAGATGGCTGCGGTGGGGCTTGCTGACTCACGGAGTGAGACTTAAGTGTCTTCAGGCAGGAGGCTTGCTGGCGGACTGTGGTGTCCCTGGGCAATTATTGGCAGAGCTAAAGAACTTTGTAACACTTGTCCAAGCAGGGCAGAGTCCAGGCCAAGGGACTGAGGGCCAGAGAAAGGCCTGCCTGCGGGCACAGCTGAGAATAGGCTGTCCTGATTGAAGAACTGTATCCTGAGTCATTCCTGATCCTGAATTGTAACCTGTTACTTCTGTAATAAACCACATAATTGTGAGTATTGTCTGTGAGTTCTGTGTGTTCATTGCAACAAATTATCAAACCCAGCAGAGAAGTAGAGAATGTTGTGGGAGGGATGGCTGGTGTCAGAATTGGTCAAAAGGTTGGACGGTGGAGGTATGTCTGACCTCCGCCTCATAGGAATCAGCCTAGGGCTGATTCTCCTTCCAGCTTGTGCAGTTAGAGGAAGTCAGATGCCCCCACCATGCCACCGTTTTTACAGAGGTCTATTAGCCAAATGTGGTCAAATGGTCAGGTAAATATACGAGTCTGGAGTTCAGCAGAGTGGTCAGGGTGGAAGATATTAAATTGAGAGTGATCCCCAAAGAAGATATTTAAAACCTTGGAACTTGAGATCACCTAGGGAAAGAGAATAGTTAGAAAAGGAGAAGAGGAAGAGCCCATAAAGACATTGAAAATATTAAAGTAACAAATTTAAATAAATGGGACATGTTTGCCCTGCAGTGAGTCGTATATTTTTCTCTAAGCTGTGAAAAAAATTTGTATTAATAGGTACTAAAGTTACAGCAAACAAGAATGTACTCTTTCCCTTTGCATCTTTCTACGCCAACGAGGAATATTTGTCTTGTTAGTCTGACCTACATATATGAATGCTTGTTCATTTGTTTTTACCTTATTTCCGATAGATCTTTGCCAGAGGTCTTCCTAACCAAATGCAGTGTGATGTGCCAGTTCTCATTTGCTTACATGTGGGTATCATGGGGATTTCTTGTGGCAATCTTCCCTTTCAAAACTTGCTTTCCTGCCATTGTACACTGCATCCCTTAACTGAAAGTGCACTTTATGAATTAGGTAAATAAGACAAAAATATATGATACACAGACACATATGTCCAAATTAAAATCATGTTTATGTTCTCTGAGTGCCTCTCTCTCCATTAACTGGAGTATTCTCACACCCTAATTCTGTGGTAATGTGTCAATGATCACTCATACACATTGTTCCAAGGTAAATAATCTCCCTCAATCATTGATTTTGTTTTACCTTTATGAACAAAGAGGTAACATTTTGTGGTACTTTTGATGAATAGAGAGCTGGCTTAATATATGTCTTCTAAAATTATAACTATTAATTTAAATATTATTTTCCGTGATAACTGTTGTTGTTGTTGTTAGGTGCCATCGAGTCAGTACTGACTCATAGCGACCTGTGTACAATAGAACAAAACACTGCCCAGTTCTGAGCCATTCTCACAATTGTTGTTATGCTTGAACCCATTGTTGCAGCCACTGTGTCAATCCATCTCATTGAGGGTCTTCCTGTTTTTCGCTGACCCTCTGCTTTACCAAGCATGATGTCCTTCTCCAAGGACTGATCCCTCCTGATAGCTTATCCAAAGTATGTGAGACAAAGTCTCACCATCCTTGCTTGTAAGCAGCATTCTGGCTGTACTTCTTCCAAGACAGATCTGTTTGTTCTTTTGGCAGTCCGTGGTATATTCAATAGTCTTCACCAAAACCATAATTCAAAGGCGTCAGTTCTTCTTCAGTCTTCCCTTATTCATTGTCCAGCTTTCACATGCATATGAGGTGATTGAAAACACCATGGCTTGAGTCAGGTGCATCTTAGTCTTCAAGGTGATGTCTTTGCTTTTTAACCCTGTAAAGGGGTCTTTTGCAGCACATTTGCCCAGTGGAATGCCTTGTTTGATTTCTTGACTGCTGCTTCCATGGGTGTTGATTGTGGATCCAAGTAAATTGACATCCTTGAAAATGTCAATATTGTCTCCGTTTGTCATGATGTTGCTTATTGGTCCAGTTGTGAGGATTTTTCTTTTCTTTGTGTTGAGGTGTAATCCATACTGAAGGCTGAAGTCTTTGATCTTCATCAGTAAGTGCTTCAAGTCCTCTTCACTTTCAGCAAGCAAGTTTGTGTCATCTGCATATCTCAGGTTACTAATGAGTCTTCCTCCAGTCCTAATGCCCCATTCTTCATCAGAAAATCCAGCTTCTCAGATTATTTGCTAAGCATACAGATTGAATAGGTATGGTGAAAGGATAGAAACCTAAGCACACCTTCCCTGACTTTAAACCATGCAGTATCCCCTTGTTCTGTTGGAATGACTGCCTCTTGATCTATGTACAGATTTCTCATGAGCACTATTAAGTGTTCTGAAATTCCTATCCTCCCAATGTTATGCATAATTTGTTATGATCCACACAGTCGAATGTCTTTGTGTAGTCAATAAAACACAGGTAAACATCTTTCTGGTATTCTCTGCTTTCAGCCAGGATCTATCTGACATCAACAATAATATCCCTCATTCCACATCATCTTCTGAATCTGGCTTGAATTTCTGGCAATTCCCTGTCGATGTACTGCTGCAGCTGCTTTTGAATGATCTTCATCAAAATTTTACTTGTGTGTGATATTAATGATATTGTTCAATAATTTCTGCATTCAGTTGGATCACCTTTCTTTGGAATAGGCATATATACGGATCTCTTCCAGTTGGTTGGCCAGGTAGCTGTCTTCCAAATTTCTTGGCATAGATGAATGAGCACTTCCAGCTCTGCATCCATTTGCGGAAACATCGCAATTGGTATTCCATCAATTCTTGGAGCCTTGTTTTTTGCCAATGCCTTCAGTGCAGCTTGGACTTCTTCCTTCAGTACCATTGGTTCCTGATAGTATGTTACCTCCTGAAATGGTTGAATGTTTACCAGTTCTTTTTGGTATAGTGACTCTGTATATTCCTTCCATCTTCTTTTGATGCTTACTACGTCATTTAATATTTTCCCCGTAGAATCCTTCAATATTGCAACTTGAGAGTTGAATTTTTCTTCATTTCTTTCAGCTTGAGATAACTAGTTGGCATGAAAGGACTTTCAAGATTAAATATTATATTCCACAGAAGAAACAACAACCTTTTTTTTTCCCTTCTTTTTTTTTTATTGTACTTCAGGTGAAGACTTACAGAACAAATAGTTTCTCATTAAACAGTA